CAATTTTAGTCTAATACATAACACATATTAATCTTACATTCAACAATAAAGTTTCCACTGTTAAGTAACGCATCGACGATCGCACATCATGCATACTTAGGTTTGCAAAAACTAAGGTTAAGTCAAAGTAAAGTGTAATATTAAAGTGAAATATTTATTTAATTATCAATTTAACTATTATCCATTACAGTTTCAATTTCCTTTTTAAACTGTCCAAATGACAGAGAAAATATATCAACATGTGAAAAGTCGTTATTATAGTTATGTATTATATTATAATAAAACAATTTATTATTAATGCGGTAGAGCCACGCTGCAGCTATAATATTATGGCTTTAGCACGAATAGGTCGAATCGACCGGGGGAGGACCACGCTCTCACAGAATACCAGCGGTAAAATATCAGCTCAATGCTGCTGTGTTTCGTATGGTGAGTGTAGAGAAACGGAGACCCTTTTTACTGGAAACGTAGCGTTCCATTCTAGTCCACAGGGGTGACAATGCATCCGTATTTTGATTCTTAATCGAGAATAGATGTCTATGGGCCACAGCAACCACTTACCATTAAGCGTCGTCCCTAATTGCCAACGATCGTAGGTAACTTCAAACGATGCGATTTCGTCGCACGACGAAATTGAACACACATTTCTTTAGTGTCCTAATTGACGCTTGCAAGTCATCGCGCGAGCACAGGAAACGCTTAATAACGATCGTACGATGGGTTTGATCGTACGATCGTGCAATCAAAGCTACAAATCTCTTTTGAGTGTCCTAATTGGTCACGCGTCTTCGCGCGAGCTCAGCAACGTATGGGCAACCGGTGAGTCAAGTTAGAGACGAGTAGAGTCCTAAGAGGTATCTAAGAGATTAAAAACTGTGCATCTCAGTCATAGAGAATATAACCACTAGAGAGCGTATAGTCAGATTTCTTCTAAGCACACGACTCACTACTGCGGGCCGGGGGACGAGGAAGAACGCGTGGCTGCAAATGGTCAAGTTGCGTTATTATGGCTATCGTTGGGGTTGCTCTTCTTAATAAAGAAAAATATTCGATATCGATAAAATGGATTTTATCATTATGAAAAATACTCAATTAAAATAATAGAAATAACAATCAGTTACAACGAAAACATGTATTTATTATATTATTATCGATTTATAAAATGAATTAATTTGTTATATTTATTTCGAATTAAAGTTTAAGGGTCCTGATTGTTTTTTGTAAAAAAATATAAATAAGCGTCTACATATTTGTAAATTATGCATCTTGCTAATTCAATTAAATGATTTGTTGATTCTATTTAAAATTGATGAAAATGAATATCCGGGAATCAATAACACCCAATCAGAGATTTTAAAACCGATTTTATAAAATAATTGTCATTATATTTCGAAGACAGCACTTTTGAACCACTCTCATTGGTCTCCACCTAAATAAAAATTTTACAACGACGACAAATATCTATTACTGTAGTGGATCCGTACAATAACTTGTCTTTAGTGTCCTTTTGAAATTGTAAGGCGTTCTGATTTGGTACACCAATCTAATTTAACTAGGTAGATATAAACTTTAACTAGGAAAAAATACCGACGAACTGAGAACCTCCTCTTTTTTCTGAAGACGGTTAAAAGTAGATAAGTATTTTTTCACAGTGTGTGAATTGAATAATCTTTTTATTAATTTTAATTTTATTATTTTCGATATCGACTTTCAGCTATTAAAGATAACAGTAAGGTACTAATTCTTACGATAAACATACAAAGAGAAAGAAAGGGACAGAAGCATTAGAATTGTCTAATAATAGAAAGAGACTTTTCCAAAAGACATCAACGCGCGACTCAACCATGTCGTCATTTACCCAGCCACCGTTTTAGATAGACCCCTGCGGTGGCTCATAATCTGAATTAATCAATAATTACAACCACTAAACCAACCAAGCAGTTAAAGTATATACGGTACTTATAACAAAAATAATAATAATTTTGAAAATGTACGTCTGTCTGTCTGTCTGTTTGTTTCGGTTAATCTCTGAAACGGCTGGACCGATTTTGACGATACTTTTACTGGCAGATAGCTGATGGTATAAGGAGTTACTTAGGCTACTTTTATTTTAGAAAAATAATTAGGATTCCGCGTAAAAAAATCAAAACATATCACATCCAATCATAATAAACTTCACGGGGACAAAGTCGCGGGGAACGCCAGTTAAAAATAAATTACGCCTCGAATAATCTAGACTTTCAACGAATTTCGCAGCAAGAAGAAGTGAATACAAAAGCTATTCGCATGCTATTATTTCAGGCTTTTGTTACGTTCACAAAAGAAAGAAAAAAAGAGTTGGCAAATGATCGTGACACATAGAGGCTGTACCCCACTACTTTGCAATGAAAATATGTTCAGGGTTAAAAAATTCCATATTCACTAGCTTTAATTTCGCCACTAGAATCGAATTTTGGTCACTAGATAAAATAGTTACAAAAGAATATTATTCTAAACATATAATACTATAATACACAATAGAACATCTGTCAACCTTATTTTGTACAAGGGTCGGTGTCGCCGGGAGCACACATACAAGCAATTACGTCGTATTATCAGTTAATCACTACTACAAACCCGATTCCTGTGTTCGCAGACGGATTTTAATACATATTTATTTGTAAATAGCGTGCAATTTGGCATTTTTTAAATAATTTGCATGCGAAATTTGTAAACGATTTTAACGTCAAAACACATCTCGTGTACATTTATACGTGTGAATTGACGTCTTGTGGCATTTTAGTGGCTACACGGACTCCGCTCACAACCCCGTTCTATTATGTATGTATTATAGTATTCTATGATTCTAAATATTGTCGATTAAGTTTGGGAATCTGAGCTCCATATTAACACCACCTTCATTACAATCACAAGTACACTGTTGGACATATTTGTCCCCCACAAATTGTCACACAGTACGGTCCTGAGCTACGATTAAAGATCACATATACATATACACTCACGCCTGTCACTCAGAGCGGTAGGCAGAGACTACAGACTTCCATTTTTTCCATTCTGCAAGATCGGCTTGTGTATTGTAAAAATATTACATTAGTTTTTACAACACTAAGTTATTTAATTCAGGTGGATAGATAAATAATAAATCTTAATATATATAAATTACGTGTCACGTTGTTTGTCCGCAATGGACTCCTAAACTACTTATAATAATAATAATAAAGCTTTATTTCTCTACACATTTACAGAGTTATCAAAATTATAAATACATACATAGAACTATTAGAAAGTTCTTCTTATTTTATGTAGTCCCTCTTGGTTAACAGCCTCCACCAATTTGAACCATTCTTCACGGTTTTTGGCAATTTGGCCAAATGGGCCCTTCCATTTTGTCGTTTGGTAGGTCCATTTTTTGTCCTGGTATCTAGCAATGTATCCTGCCCATTTCCATTTTTGTATTTGACTATGCTGAAGTGCATCCGTTAATTTCGTTTTCTTTGGAATATCTATATTTCTTGTTTTTTGTATTCTCCTTAGTTTAAGGATGCTCCTCTCCATAGCATGTTGACAAGACAAAATTTTGTTTTTCACTCTTTTGGTGTACACCCATGTTTGGCTTGCAATGTTAGACTTGGGAGGATACACGAGTCCATTATGACCTTTTTCATTTTTAGGCTGTAATTTCCTTAGAGAATTTCTTTTTGAGCCCAATATTTTTTCCACGCTATATTTATTCTTCTGTCTATTTCCTTTTCAGTGTTGTTTAGTTTGAAAGATATCAATTTGCCTAAATATACATAATCATCAACATATTCAATGGATTTTCCTTCTATTTTGATTGGTTTTTTGGAGCTGTTTGTAATTATTTTTGTTTTAGATGCATTCATTTGAAGTCCTGCTTTTTGGCTTTGGGTGTTCAGGCTCTGAAGCACGATTTCTAATTCAGTTGCAGATTCACTAAATATAGCTATGTCATCAGCAAATCGTAAATGTGTTAATCTTTTATTTAGTATCCATATACCTTTGTTTATCCATTCTAGGTTTTGAAATATGTCTTCAAGGACGGCTATAAATAGTGTGGGTGAAAGAGGGTCACTTTGCCTCACTCCTTTACCAATTTCTAACTCTTCTCCATGTCGTTCTAGTTTTATTTTGCTTGTACTCTTAGCATATATGTTCTTTAGCACACTTATGTATTTTTCATTTATTTTGTTTTTTCTCAAAGCCTTCCATATACATGAGTGTGATATGCTGTCAAAAGCCTTAGCATAATCTACAAATGCTATGTATAACGGCATGTTATATTCTTTGTATTTTTTTATTATTTGTTCCATAGCATGTATATGATCCATTGTTGAGTAGCGTGGTCGGAAGCCTGCTTGCTCTATCGGTTGGTTTCCTTCTATGTCTGGGGCTATTCTACTTAGGATTATCGAAGAGAACAATTTATAGATTGAAGATAGTAAACTAATTGGTCTATAATTGTTGATGTAAAGTGGATTTCCTTTTTTATAGAGTAGTATTATGTTTGAGCTGCACCGTTGTTTTGGTATTTGTTCTTGTTGTATGATTAAGTTGAATAGTTTCGTCAGGTAGCTTACTAGAATAGGTGACCCAAGTTTTAGAGCCTCATTTGTGATTTTATCTGGCCCTGGGCTTTTTTCAGACTTTAGTCTTTTTATATGCCTTTCTATTTCCCCTTCACTTAAGTTGCTTCTTCCAGTAGGGATTCTCTTTTATGTTTACTTTCAAGTTGTTCATCCTTTTGGGTTTCATCTTGAGATGTTCTTATGTAAAACTCCGAGTAGAAAGTTGTTGCACGCTTTACTATGTCTTCTATGTTTCTTGTTTACTCTTTTCCATCTTGTAGACCTTGTATCCAAGTTTTATGCGTTGACAACTCTTTAAGAGCTCTCTTTGAACTTTTATATGTTGCCATATTTCTCTCTATGATTATTCTTCTATGTCTTTCGTAGTCTTGCCTGATTGCTCTGTTTGTTTTCTTATATATCGTATAGTTCTTTTAATTCGTGTCTCATTTCTTTAGATTTTTCTCTTTTAGATAGGAGTTCCGTACGTTTAGAAATCAGTTCTTGTGTTTGTTCAGTAATAATTTTAGGCTTTTCGTTACTGGTTTTAAATGCTTTATCCTGTTCTAGACTATTTGTGATGGTTTTTTCCAGCTCTCTGCTCAGAGTTTGTATATTTTCTGTGTTCTTCATTGTTTCTTCTAGTGTTGTATTTTCTTTTAGCTTTTCTAGATAAGTTTCTTTTTCTTTTGAAGTCTTTAGCATATTATGTGGGGCTTTAAATGATTTCCTGTTCATAGGGTCCGGAGATTCAGTGAACATCTGACCATTTTATGATCCGATGGGAAGTTTATATTGCTTAAAACCTCAAAATTTGTGATTACTTTGGGGTTGTAACTTAGTATGAATTCGATTTCGTTTTTTGTGTTGTTGTCTGGAGAAATCCAGGTCCATTTGCGAGAGTTTCTCTTTTTGAAATATGTGTTCATCAATGATAGTTTGTTTTCATATGCGTATTGAATTAATCGTTCCCCACGTGGATTTCGTTGACCATATCCGTACCGTCCCATTAATTTATGTTCTTCATGTTTCGGGTACCCAATTTTTGCATTTAAGTCTCCAATCACTAGTAATGTCTAATCTGCTTGTTCTTGCGCTTTTTGTAAATCCATGTAGAAACTTTAAATTTCTTCCTCACTGGAGCTCTCAGTGGGGGCGTAAACTTGAATAATAGACAGTGATACCTTGTTGAAGCTCATTTTTAACACAGCAACTCTTTCTGATATGCCTACGAAGCTCACGATATTTTGTTTCAATGTTTTCTTTATTAAGAAGCCTACGCCATAGAGTCCTAATGTCTCACCAATGTAACAGAAAATGTATTCGTTATGTTATTCTATACTGTACCCTAGTTGTTTAATTTCGGCGAGCCCTATGATGTTCTAGTTATTTTTGGCTATTGGATTATCTAATTCTAATAGTCTTGTCATTGATGATAGTGATCTTACGTTATAGGTACATATTTTTAAGTTGTGTATTTCTTCAGATTCATAGTTTAAATTTCCAGATTTTCTGCTCTTATAATTATTGGTTTTATTCAATGGAGGGTTGTGGTCTTCTTCCCCCACGGTGACCAGCTGGCTTGGGGTTCTGATGGTTATATTTTTATTTTGTTGTGTTGTTTGATTTGTCTTATTCGGATTCCAGTTTAGGGAGGAAGTTTTTAGTTTTTTGAAGTTTTTGGTTCAGACACCGATGATGCTCTACCTCGTGCTGCATAATTGAAGTATGCTTGGTTTTACTATTCCTTGTGTATTATTTGCCGATGGCTCATCAATATGTTTGTCAGTAAACTGTTTCTTCTTGGTGTTTTGTGCCATTGTTTCTGGTGAATCTACCTTTTCTCTTTTCCTTTTCTCGCGGTTAGAATCTTTTGGGTTTTTTACTACTAACTTATCATATTTCAGATATGCTAAATTTCCCTTCTTTCTTTCTTCTTCTAGCATTCTAGGAGATTTTTGCGAGTTTTTAGAACCTCTTTAGGAAAGTCTTCTTTAAGATAGATGCCTTTGGGCAGGTTAGATTTGTTCTTCTGGAAAAATGTTTTTTACATGTTATTGTCAATGGCACCACTACCAGTCGGTTTTCTTATTTGAACGTTGCCCAATTCTATAGATTTTGGCTATCTCTTGACTGTCTAGGTGTACACCCGTCTCCACTATTATATCTTTCAAATAGTCTACTAATTCACATTCTGTTTTCTGTTTCTCTTCTATGCCGAAAAATACTAAATTGTTCTTTCTCTTTTCCTTTTCCATGAACTCTATGTTCTGTTCAAGGATTGTTATTTTCGTTAACCTAAACTACTTAACCGATTTTAATCAAATTTGCACACTGTGTGCAGTTTGTTCAAACTTAAGAGATAGGGTAGTTATTTGGCCAATGAGTGACCCAAAATTTTTTTGTGAATCTAAGGATTTTTAATAGTACATGAAAAGGGTCGTCAAAAAGGGCAGAACAATGTCTGCCTGGCAAGCTAGTATTAATATATAAATAGCTCTTTATTTGTCTCAATTCACATGTAATTAACACAAATGTACAATTAAGTACATTTAATGTAGTAGAACCAAGTTGCAGCTATGTTATATAAAGATAAAGCCAATAAAGAACCACACTCTCTGAAAATGCGACATACCATCTTAGTCATCAGGGGTATTAACAAATCTGCATTTTCATACTTAACTGGGAATAGATGAAAATGTCTATGGGCCAAAGTCTCCACTTACTGTCAGTTGCACTGTGTGCTAATTAGTAACTATTATTCTATAAAAAAAATCATATTAATTAAATTACTAAACATAATATTAATTTAAAATTTTACACACAGAATATTAAATTGATTTCATTTATTATATTATAGTCGGTTGTACAAAATTTTTAATTTTAGTACTTGTGTACGTACTGCTAAATTGAATTTAAATTAGTGGTGGTAATGTAAGAAAATCTATCACGCCATTTTGTCTCACTGGAAGCTTAAAAAAGGCTGGAAAAACGTAATGGTCTTCTAGAAATTGGCAGTTTATTATATCTTATATACCCCAACAGACATTGGTTAGGCGTATCAGTATGAACAGATGTTATGTATCTGGTAAGAGTGGTTGCTGCGATGTGTTGTCACCCGTGAGGACTAAGATGGAATGCCTCCTTTCCAGTATATCACTATACGAAACACAGCAGCATTAAGCTGCTATTTTACGCTGGTGTTCTGTGAGAGCGTTGTCCTTCCCCAGTCGGCCGACCCACTCATGCTACAACTATACTACTATTTTTTTAATGTAATTAATCATTTTGAAATACATGACAATCGAACAGTTTACGACATAAAACAGTCATAAGAAAAAAAATCGAGAAGCGGCGATGTAAGAACATCCACTACCCCATCTTGTTCCGTGGGTGGTGAAAAGGCGACAGAGGGAAATTGAAACAGACGATGGGCAGCAGCATCTTCCTTATAACAATCCGAGATAATAAAAAAACTGCTGTTGACAACCCGCTCGCCAAGAGTGGCAACTATGAAAAATCCCCCCTATGAGGCATTCTATGGGAGAGTCCTATATTAAGCAGTGAACTTTTATAAGCTGTAATTGAAGAAAAAATGGGGTTAAAACATATTAACATATTGTAAAAGGTTAAAATGTAATGGTAAAAGATAATTAAGGGCTTTGGCCGTAACGTAACAGGAAAAATACGCTTCCGTCTTTATTATTGATTATATGTTACAATTCGTAGTAGCTCAAGGAGTAAACGCACACCTTAAATTAATATAGTATGCAAGCAAACAAATATGTTACAACATCAACTACCACATATTGTTCCGTGAATGTCAGTGAGGGAAGTAAATTATGATATGGGCAGTAGGGTTGCCCTAATAACAAATAGATAGTTAAAACTGCAGTTACAAACCTTAATGCCAAACAGTGCAACTTTGACTAATATCTCCTCTATGAGGCAATCTACTAAGTGGTCTATGTTCCGCAGTCGACTTAGATGGGCTGTAATGATGATGACAACACGAGAAAACCGAGTTCAGCCACCGCCGCACTGGCACTACTGAAATTGATTATTGATGATTTAGTCAGGTGCTTGAAATGTCGAAAGTTAACATTCTGAGAATAAAAATCTACAGACAGTGATTCGAGGATGTGTAAAGTCCGTCAATTCAATAGGTATTGGGGCAGTGAGGGCTTTTGAGCAGGGTAGATTTGATGAAAAACCCTCTCAGTAATACTTGACTTTAATTTACTTTGACACTAACTGTGCCCAGACTGTGTTGCGGTGTCTTTTTTTGTCAGAAACTCGCGGACGCGCGCAGAATAACTAACCAAAGTATCGTAATTTAATGAATGGTAATGCATAAGATAAGAAAAAAAATCTTTTTTGTCACAAACCTTCACGGGCGAACATGCATCTATTACTAAGTTTAATCGTAATTGGATGAAGGTATAGGAATCTGTTCAGGGTTGTTTTTTCTTATTTTGTTTTTTTTGTGTAATTTTAATAAAAATGTATATGTGTTGGCAATGTAGACAAACCAAGAAAGATTCATTTTTAAAGAGTATTTTAAGCTACAATATATAAAAAAGACCTTATCAACTGGAAATCCCAGTAATTTCATCAGATTTTTTTTTATTACAAATGTTTATATTGTATTTTTATTATATAGTAAACAAAAGTGGTTGATTTTTAAAAAAAATATTCGGCTTAAAAAATCATAAATCATTATTCAAATAATGTTCTCTCTGTCAAATTTTGTTCATGAGGAAAACCATCTGAAGTTATGAACATCCCACACAGGAAATTTTATTGTAACAAACATATTCACAAAACCAGTAAGGTGTACTAATTCATCTAATACGATCATTGTAAATTTCTCATGTTAAAAATAGGATTGTTTTCAGTATTAAAGACATGGGGAAGATATTATAATCACAACACATCCAGACCTAAAACCAAATTTTTTTTGTACTTGAAAAATTACTACAGCACCATCACTTATCTGTAATCCATGTAGATTAACTTTTTTAACTAGATGCACGCTTTGGATATGAGAAAATGATTATATGTATGAATATTTAATAGCAATATTTGTCACAAAATTTTTATTCCAAAAATTTTCATCTAAAGTAAAGTAAAAATTGTATTCTTTTTATAATTAGAACTCTCGAATTTTGAGAGATTAAATGATCTTGATTTCAAGTCGTAATGTCTACAAGACAATAATCGCTGTTTTAAATAAAATATTAGAAGTGTTTAGTAATAAATGTTATATCAGTTTTTTTAACCTTGATCTGAAGTTTGTTTCACCCCTTACTGCATAATCTATGCATGCCACTCCGAGTCTGTACTATCTGAAGGAGGATAAGCATGAAATTCTAAAAAAAGTGTGAATCTAAATAAAAATATATTGGACAGTATTTGGGATAAGCGCTTCACATTATTTTTACAAATGCCATATTAATTTAACAATTGTTTATTTTAATAAATAATACCTCTGCAATAAACAAACACAAAAATAAAAAAAGGCCCATCATAATTACCTAAATTGCAAGGACCTAAAAAAATTTTTTTATAGGATACTGTGACAAACGAGCACACAGTCCATCTGATGGTAAGTGGTTGCTGTGGCCCATATACAACTACATCTATCCTCGATTACAAATCAAAATGCAGATGTGTTGTCACGCGTGAGGACTAAGATGGAATGCCTCTTTTCCAGTAAAAAGGGTCTCCGGTTAGAGTACCGGAGACCCTTTTTACTGGCT